TAACTGGTGCATTCTTCAACATGAAGCTCGGGGAAAGCACCAATCGCACACTGATCCAGAAAAGAAAAAATGAGAAAACACTAACAGCTACATCTTACAAGGCCAGCATAAATTTGATACCATAATCTACAATGGGAAAATGTTAGCACCAACCAACTTTTAAATTACTTTATTAATTAAAAATAAAAGTAAGTTTTGTTGTATTTTAATTTTCCTAGCTCCATACTCCCTGCTCTGCTCTGTGATAATCTTGAAAATCTATAGCTCACAATCATGGTAAAAACTAGCAGCCTGGCAGCCCCTATAGGAAGCAGAAGACGTTTAGAAGTTTTACAAAATTCCATGCCCAGATAATTGTCATCTCTTGTGGTTCAGTGGAAGGCTCCACTCACAAAGCTATCTTTATTTTACCTGATTTAAACTGCCTAACCACAAGGTTAAAAGGATAATCTCAAACATGAGATGTTCATGAGGGACTCTGATAAAGTCCAACGTATTCCTGGGAATCTAGAAGGTTGTATGAAAGCTGTGCACATGCTTAGAACAGCATGCATACTCAGAAAGACCTGAGAGAGTCCTAAGCCATCACCTCTGGCTAACCGTGTGCCTCTGTATAAGCAAGAAGTGAAGAAGGCTAAGGAAGAGTTGCATTCTTCCTGGCTGAGTGCTGAAGGCATGTCTCAACACACACACACACACACACACACACACACACACACACACACACACACACACACACACACACACAGTCCCTCGGTAAAGACTGGGAGACATATTGGTTCCAGGCAATTAATGAAATCTCTAAATTTCTGTCCAACTATTAGTTGACCAGTAGGCTAATTCAGCAGAAACATCACTGGCCACACACAACAAAGAACACAAACTTGACAGTGTATCAGTGCAAATAAGTCACTAAATAACAAATACCAACAACAGTAACAAGAACAGCAAACAGTCATAACAATGAACCCTGGGGAGGGGAGAGAATCTAATTTCCAGAGTTGCCACACTATATTATTTCAAATATCCAGTTCTAAAGAAATAATTACAAGATATGCATAGAAACAAACAAAAAAAAAATAAGATCCACGTATGGGAAAAAACACTAAATAGAAACTTTCTCTGAAAAGAACAGATGCTGGACTCATTAGACAAAAACTTTAAATCATCTGTTTTAAATATTATCAAAGAACTAATAGAAACCCTGTCTAAACAACAAAGGAAAGTATAAGAATGACATATCTCCAAATAGAGAATATCAATAAAGAGCTAAAAATTTTATATATATTTAAATAACCAAATAAAAATTCTGGAGTTGAACAATACAATAACCAAAATGAAAAGTCCACTAGAGGGACTCAAAAATAGATTTGAGCAGGCAAAACAAAAAAATCAGTGAACTTGAAGATAGGTCACTTAAGATTGCCCAGTCTGAGGAACATAAAGTAAGCATACCATCAAGCATATCAACATATACCTAATGATAGTCACAGAAGGAGAGAAGAGAGGGAGAAAGAACAGAAAAAAAATATTTGAAGAAACAATGGCCTCAAACTTTCTAAATCTGATGAAAAATATAAAAGATATGAAAGAGCCCCCACTGTCCAAATCTGGGACAATTTAAACACCAAAATAGCTAAGTAATTAATTATAAACCACTGCACAAATAAAAATTCATGAGTCCATATTGATAACAGATAGATAACTAAGCAACTAATAAATAGATGATAGATAGATGATAGATAGATGAATATAGATAGGTAGATAGATGATAGATAGATGAGAAAAGAGAGTTGTTGCTTACAGTACAATTTCTAGAGCCAACAGATCTATATTTGAAACAAAAATGTTTTAATTTTGATAAAATTTCTAAAAATAGCCAACATGTAAAAGTGGTAGAAAAGGTGGGGTTAGAAAATCACCATTTAGCACCACTGGAGTAAAGTTGTTTCAAACAAGGATTATCAATGGATGTGAAATATAGAAGATAATTTTGATGAGGACCAACCACAATATTTGCACAACCTTATAATGTCTCCTTACAAATTTCTAGCAGTTATAAGAGAAAAAAAATAGTAACTATACAGTGACAAGGTGGATAACATCTTTACTCAGTAATCAAAATTAATATACCAATGAGGCTCAAATAGACACTGTATATCTCCAAAAGTGATACCCTCAGATACAGCATGTCTTCTATTCCAGTCTGGCATGTATAATATAATCAGCTTTTAATCACGAGGAAAGAGCAAGCAACTCCAAAATGAGGAAAGTTGTATTAGAAGAGAGGAAGGGATGCTGAATTGTTCAAAAATGCCAATATTATAAAAAGTAAATAAATAAAAGCGTGGGAAATTATCCAAATTAAAGTAAATTAAAGAAACATAACAACTAAATGCAATACCTGATCCTTCATAGGATCAGGTATTTTCTTCCTTTAATGGAAGAAAAAAAATTCAGTAAAGGATATTATTGAAACACGTAATGAAATTAATGAAACAGAAATATGGACAGATTAGATAAGCTAATGGTACCAATGTTAATCTTCCTAAAATTGATAATAACATCAGAGAGAGAGGGAAAGAGAGATTAATGATAAATGATATAACAAATGAAAGCAAATGGGGTAAAACAGTAAAAATAGGTAAATCTGGCTAAGGGATATGTTGATATTCTGTGTACAATTTCTGTTGTTATAGCTTTTCTATAAGCTTCAAATTATTTCCAAATAAAGTTTCAAAAAATAAAAATCAAAATAAATCAATAACAGTTGTAGAGATAACTAACAGTAATTGAGGGCCTCCATATCCAAAAATTCTTTAAATATTCTTTTATTTAATCCTTACAACATTGTCCAAATGATTTAACAGGCTTAGAAAAATTTATCCTCAGCTCTTTTTTCTCAAAATTTTATTTAATGCCTTCGTTAAATAAGTAACAGGAACACTGATCAAAGTTCTTTGTATAAAAAAAATGTATAGAATACAGACATATACACACACTCACACACACACATACACAAAATGGTTTGCATATATAGAAAATCTATATAAGTTCATTCAGGTAATATGTAGTTTAAAATAAATAAAATTTAAAAAAAAATTTTTGTATAGCAGGAAACTGGAAGGGATATATGACAAATAAAAGACTCATTCATTATTATTTTAATATTGTGTAATCCTCAAACAAAACCCTTTAAGGTGAAATTTAACATTGATAAATATAAAATCCTGTATTTTGATTGAAGAAATCAGCTGCATGTTTAAGATAGGGAAAACAAGCTTAAAATTAAATTTTACGGAAAACAAAGAAATCTTAAGTGACTACAAACTAATAGGGGCTAATGGTCAAACAAACAATATCCATAGCTGCCAGAAAATGAGATGATACAGTCTTAGACATCATTTATAAAGTATAGCAGCTACAGCAAGAGAAGTAAAAATTTCCACTGTCACACGCCAGAGTTGTTGAGTTCTGGGAGCCACATTTTAAGAAAGGCAATGAAGGGGCCGGCCGAGTGGCACATGGGTTAAGAGCTGGCTTGGGGGGATGTCAGAGGGCCCCGGTTCGGATCCCACATATGAGGGCCAGTGACACTGCCCTCCACAGCTAAGATGCTGAACAACAGCTCAACCTGGAGCNCATAAAAAATTCAAAAAGAGAGGGAAACTACTTACAACACATAGAACACACAGAGGGTTAGTATCTATAATATATAAATAATTACTACAGACAAATGATAATACATCGTTTTGTGGGAAAAGATGAATATGATACTGACAAACACTTCATAGAAGATAAAACACAAGCAAATGTGTAAAAAGCTGGCACTTTCTAATAAAGGCATGCAAAATAATGCAAGCTGATTTTTCACCTATCGTGTTGCCTAAAATGTAAAATGTTTAGCTCTAAATTTTGAAAAAAAAAATGTATTTAAAATGGCAACTCTCGGGCCGGCTGAGTGGTGCGATGGTTAAGAACGGGCTTGGGACACCAGAAGGCCCCGGTTTGGATCCCACATATGAGGGCCAGTGACACTGCCCTCCACAGCTAAGATGCTGAACAACAAAACAACAGCAACTTGTCTGTTCCCCTTCCCCCAATTCCCCAATAAAAATCTTTAAAAAAAAAAAAAAGGCAATGAAAAAAACTGCAGTGTCCCCAGGATAGGAGACATCTAGAATTCATTCTTCCCTGCCCCCCATCCCCCTCCCTCCAAATACCAAGTATTGACCACAAGCTCAAATCAACATTTGTCTGGGAAGATTCAAGTGAACCTCGTCCCTGCCTTCAAGGACCCACACTGCTCCCCTCAGGATTCCTCCCACTCAACCCCGACTTGCAGGCTCAGTCCCTCCCCGAGCTCCACTCTTATCCTCTCCTAGTGTAGGCAGAACCGAAGGCATCCCAGATCAAGTTAGCCCATTGGTGCTGCTGTTGCAACTCTGTTCTTCTGCTAGGAATTAGGCTCTGTCTAAGTATACTAATTAAGGCCCTTAGATTATTGCCTGTTAAATACATGTTCTCTAAGGCTGATGTTCTCTAGTCTTGCATACTTTTCTCTTTGGGGAGATTGATTTCTACCTCTAATTTTAACTCTTCTCCTGGAGCCTTCTTGAGTAGTGTTAAAAAATTGCCTTGATAATGACCATCTGCTTGGCTCACTGCTTATTATCAGCTCAGAGTCAGTGTCCCTGTAACCCACCTACCCATTGGGACACCTTCCAGGCCTCTTTGACACTGGCGACCTCTAGAACATTCCCTACCTGAAACTATGCTCCTGGGTATGGCCCTGGGAACCCAGTGAGTGCATTAGCCTCCATGCCCAGTGCCCTCCATGTGAGACCTTTTCTGCTAAAATGACTTTCATTTCTCCAATAAGGAAGATGGTAATAATACAAATAATGCAGGACACTCAGAGAGAAAGAGAACCAGGCACATTTTGATAATGGTTTTAAGGAGTAAACCCAATACAATGTACAATTCTAATTAGTTTTTACCTGATTAGGGATTCAGGAGGTAGTTTATAAAGGAAATGACATCTGATCTTGATTTTGAGTGATAGATAGTTTTTTCCAAAAGTATTGCTGTAGGCAAGGATGAATCCAGATTTTATGGGGGAAACACCTATAGGAATGAGAGAGGGAGGGACTCAACAGAATGCAAAGTTATAACACAAAATTATCTACTATCCATTAAAAAATAATGATTATTCATTAACTAATCATTTAATACAAATGTAAAAAGAGAACAAACAGTAAATAAACTTTAAAAAACTAATACCCAAAACATCACAACAATCAGAAAAATAACATAAAATTTATATTAATTTACTACCTGACATGCCTGTTTAATACAATTTTTCTACAGGTTTTTTGGCTATATACATTTTAATCGCTTCTTCATATGACACTCATTTTGTAATATTTTTCTAGAGAAAATAGAAGGATATTTCAATCTTTTATTGGTTTGGTTGATCAAAATTTGTTTTCCATTATTTATAGTGTAGAAGATTTCTTTGATTTCATGACTCATTGCATTTAATGACACAAGTTTTTTAGTATTATTATCATTTGGGGGAAATATTTATCAATTTATTTTCTTATAAAAGACCTAGTCACTATAGTACTGCTACAAGTTTTTATCCTAAAAACACAGGAAGTCTAATAAATTCTATTTTGTGTAAACCCAACAAAAAAGAAGAAAATACGTGTCGTGATAATTTTATGTACCATGTTATCAAGTATATATTGAGTTGTCATAAAAGTCATGACATATTTTTTCTATGTTTTTTGTTGCAAAACTGTATCATGACTTTTCTGACAACCCAGTGTCTGCCAAGAGAGAGCTTCTGTTTTAACTGTGTCAATAAGAACCAAATCATTTACTATAATTGTACATGGATGATTGAAAAAACTCTCCACAGAGCAGCTTCTGGGTCTAGGACCTATAGGACGTTAGTTATATTGATGTTCAATCTCTGACCCTGCCATTGTGTTTTAATACTGGTGAGCAGGCCTAGAGGAAAGGAGAAAAATTTCTAGAACACATTCCTACACTGAGTCAACTTAAAATAACTATACATAAATGTGTCCAGTTGCAATAACTATACATGAAATGACTGCAAACCATATATTTACCCCCACTGAATCAAAATTAAATACTATTCCCACCTCAGCTCCTCCTTAGCTCAATTCCAAAAATGTCCACAGCCATTCTCAACATGGGGAAGAAAGCAAAGGTTAAGTCAGGGTGGTAAGAGATAGTAAAATATCTTACTTTTGTGAAATTTACAAAATCAGATGACCACATGAATGAATGGGTCAGGCCCTCCCAGGACCTTGAAGGGCCCATGCAAAAGATGGCCTTGACGCGAAAGTCTCATTAGCTTCACAGTAAAAACACCCCTGGCTTCAAGGCATTTCCAGGAAAAAAAAATGGTGTTTTTTTTACCCTGAAACCCTCTAATTGAGTCTACTGTCCCAACTAGTAAACTACCAGCTTTAGCTAATAGCTTATTGCACTAATAGAGGCATAAATTCAGAACAAGGAGGGGTGACAACCCCATTACACTCTAAGACCAATTCTAAGAATCGAGCTTCAGAAGGCCATTTGTTAAAACTGGAGGATGTACAGAGGACAGGGACCAGGAAGGTATGAAGACTCAAAAGAAGAATAATTATTAGCACTTGGATATTTAGTGTGTCAAAGAGATGACTTAGTGAGGAAGTAAGACCTTTGCCAAAATGTAAAAGGGATTGTCATATGGATGAGGAATGAGACTCGATCTATATTCTTTGAGGCAGAAGAAGGACCAGGATGTGGTTTGAAGACTTAGTGTAAAAAATATGTAAAATATGTCAAGAATAATGTTTATATTGATTACATGTTAAAATGATAACACAGTATTTTAGATAGTTTTGGATCTAAAATAATACAGTATTTTAGACCATTTACGTGTATTAATTTCACCTGTTTCTTTTTAGGGTTTTAACTTGGCCACTAAGAATTTTAAAAGTGTGTAAGTAGCTTGCATTTGTGGCTCACATTATATTACTGTTGGACAGCACTGGTCTAGGGTTTCAGCCCCACTGAGATAATCCTTAAGCCCTCAAAGCCATTGCAATTTTTCCAAGAGCTAAGGCACCAAACCCATTTTATATTTAGGAAGCTTTTACTTGAACTTCTCTGTTCTTGAATTTAATGCATTTACTGTACCTGTTTCATTGGCGTCACTTGGCTTTTTCTTAAATAAGGAAAATGAGCTCCTATTGGGTTCAAAGAATAGTCCAATAAAGATATTTTACTGTCCCTTTACTCAACAGGAGTATACGGGTCATAATGGTATGTCTGACACTAGCAGGTTTTATACTGTAATTTTTTTTCTTATCAGCTACTTAATGAAATGAATTTCTATCATAACATCTTTGAAATATTAATACTCTTACAGCTGTCTTCAAAGGCCTATTTTGAACTAAATATGTTATCAATCAAAATACTCATTAAAATTCGATGCAAGCTTATGTGAAGAGAGAGATTAAATCATTGAGGCATCTGGGCCTCTTATTCCACTAATGTGACCTCATTATATTGTAATTTGTTATTACAGAAATTTAATTTTCTGATGCCATAGAAGTACTAGGGGTCTTCACATTTCCTAGGTTTTCATTTACCCTAATTGCAAACTTTTTGACCATTTACTGGTTGGGCCCTTGGATATTTCTAAGACTTGTATTTCTTCTGTCAGACCACAATGTGTCACCTGAACAAGCAGTACTTAGTCCCTGACACTGGAGAGAGATGATGGTTACAATCCCTGAAGGAACTTGGGAGAGTGTTGTCTTGAATGAGATGGGGAAATATTTTGAATTGCCATTTCTCATTGGCCGCCATTCATATATGTGGATCCTGACTTTGACCCCTTCACACTCTCCACTTTCTCCACCTTCACACTGACTTAATGGGATCCCCCTTCCATGGATGTGTGAAGGAGTCAGAAACACGGAGAGGACTACTTAGAATGCTGAGCGGTTTCTCTCAGAAAGTCGTGAGGACCAAAGAAGGTAATATGCGAAGCCCTAAGACAGCGCCTAGCCAAAGTAAATACCAAATAAATGCTAGTGGCCCTCTTTCTCCACACCCACCACCTTAATCTAGCCATTCAACCAAACGTGTTACATGGCTTTCTCCTGCCACTCAAGTAAAACCCAAGAAAAGCCAAAGGGAGAGATAGATAGAACATTCTGAGTGTCAGGGATCAAGAATGTGGCATTTAAAAATTTAGTCCATTTCCCACATGAAGACAATTACCAAAATATCTTAACTTAGAAGAAAACTTAGAATTGCCTCAGGGAATCTTGTCACCTTCAACTCACACACCTATGTCAAGACTGCTCTCAACTACAACTAAGTGGTCCTTTTTCTCATCTCTGATGTGTTTTCTCTCTGCTAACTTCTCTTTTAAAAAAAGCCACCAACCCATGTGGGCTTAGTTGCCATGGCCAAGGATAAATTCTGACTAGGTCCCAGAACCCATAGATGCAGAAGTGGCCCCAACAAGATTGCAGTGTCTATTGATTAAGTGGCTTAGTTCCTAGTAATCACAGAGGAAGACTCAGAAAAAAGGACTTGAGTTGTCCATCATCAGATCAACAGCCTCCTAGCCTCAAGCTATCATAACACTTCTCTTTTATGGTGGCTGTGAGCTGTCCAGAGCCAGGCATTTCATTATATAACTCTCCAATTAGATCTGCTGTCTCTCCTACTGTATTCCTCTGGCACCGTGTGCCAGCTTACACTGGTCTCTTATGCTTCCACAGCCAGCCACCTGCCACAGTAAGGCCTCTGCACATTCTGTCCCATGAGTCTAGAATGTTCTTCCCCCCCCCCCCGATTCCTACATGGTTTAATTTACTCCCTCACGTTCTTCAAGGCTTTGCTTAACTATCGGTTTTTCAGTAAGGCTTTTCTGATGACCCAATTATGAACTGAAACTTTCCCTTCCCAGCTCACACCTCCACTCCCCTGTTCGATCTCCCTGGATGGCATCTATCACCATCTGACACACTTTCTACTGCACATGTCTATCCATTATTGTCAGTCTCTCTGGATCAAATGTGAGGTCCATAATGTAGGAACTTTAGGCGGCTTTTTTGTTGCCGTGTCTCAAGCACCTATGAGACTGCAAAGAATAATGAGGAAGTGAATGAAAAGAGCATATATTAATCGATTTTGTCAGAGTACTTCAAATAAAAGTTAGTCATACAAAGAACATTATTTTAAAATCCATGCAGTGCAAAATTTTGGTGACTTGATTTATGTGTGCATGTCTATTTGTAAATATGAATACACTACAGTCTAAATTGTTGGGGCTATTTTTGTGCACATTCTTTAGTCCCTGAAAAAACGAATGGCTCTGAATTCACATTACCTTCAGCATGACTCTGAATATCAGATGACAGACTACTTTCCCATTGTTTTATATGAAAGAATGAAAGAGAAATATGTGGGCGAAAAAGCCCTTTTAGCATGAAAAGAAATGCCTGAGTTAGCTCAGCACAACCACCATTCACTGCAGCAGGGACCCCAGGAAAATAGAAACTTTAGATCACTGTGTGACAAATAGCTTCAAATCCCTTCCAAGTAACAATGTCTGGCTCTGTCCCCCCAAAAACTTCAGTTTTTGGAGATTCCACAACCAATAGAGGAGGGAAACTGTGGCTTTAACACTACAAGAAGAAAATTAAACCTCTCAAAGCAAAATCATAACATTTCTTCTCAAAACACTTTGGTTTGTCCTCTATTATTATTTGAGATCAAGTCTTAGTGAAAAAACAAAGTAGACAATTCTTTGCAGATAACTTGCAGTTCAATAACCTGATAATTATTCATTTCAGCTTAAAGCATGCTTGTAAATATCATTTCAAATGAAGCACTGACTTGATTTTTAATCAATGAAAACTGACATTTGTTGAAAAGACTTTCTGAATAATTACCTTGCATTCTTATTACTAAAGCGGATTTAATGGAAAATCAAAACAAATGATATTAATTACATCGTACCCTCATTATATATTAATAGGTTCAGAAACCAAACATTGAGTGTCTTATAGAGCTGGGTGTAATATTTATATGAAGCTTTATGATGGAAGTCAGTTTAAGTCTAATATATTTATTTTAGTGCTCTGACCTTTTGTTCTCTGGAAACATAAGTTTGGTCTCCGGTAGGAGCACAGATATCCAGCGCTAACATTTTGGGCTCATGCCTAAGAACCCAAAGTGTCACTGGCTGTTGACTTTCTCATGTCAGGGGGTATGAGTTGGCTGATTGATAAGGTATCACCTACCTCTAACTTTGAGTTATTATTGAAACACTTCCCTTTTGGTTGATGAATTTAGAACATCTCAAGCAAAGGAATTTCATTAGGTAACTATGCATCGAGGTCTGCTATTATCTGTGTGTCCAGCAAGCAACCAGGTAGGTACAACCAGGAGCCAGAAAATGAGGAGAGCATCACTGGAGAAAGGATTTTCTAAGGTCATTATCTCTGGACTGACCCCTGGACCATCAAGTCTTTATAACCACATTCAGCCTTAGTTCGGGCTCCTTAGTTGTAGTTAGAAAACAGCAGGTGGCTTCCTAGCTGTGGGACCTTTTCAAGTTGTATAACACCTCTGAGTATCAGTTTTCTCACCTGTAAATTGGAAATAAAAATAATAGTTGGTTGTTGTAAAGATTTTAAAAAAGATTTGTTGTGAAGATTAAATGAATAATCCATACAATGTGCGAAACAGTGTCCCTAACATGTACTAGGCTCTCAATAAATATTGATTATTGGAATCATTATTATTAAAGGCCCCTTTCATCCCAACATTATATGACTATTCTAATGCAATATGGAAGCCCCACTGGGAAAGGAATCAGACTTCTCACCTCTTCAACCTCTCACTCTGGCTTATAATATCCTCCTGGCCTCTGGGCTTGCTGCAAAACACCAGCATAAAAATGGATAAGTACAGGGAACTGATTCAAATTTGAACATAGAACCATTTCCTGCTGGGATATAAGCCACCCACCAAGCAGTGAGATTTCACCAAAGCAGATAAGAGTCCAGACAATGCTATCATCTTTGAAGACAACATTTGCAAAATCTGAATCATTCATTCAACAAAAATTGAATGTGCCAGGAACTGCCCTAGGTACTGAAGACTCAGCAGCAAACAAACAACAACAACAACAACAAAAAAACAAGAACCTCTTGGGAAGCTTATGTTCTAGTTGGGAGAGAAAAATAGGTGGAGTAGACGGGAGTGGAGAGGTGATGCAGTGCCTTTCGTTCTTCATACAGCCTCGTTGGAGCCTTCCCTGACTTCCCCCACGAAGCCATTGCGAGTATCAGTCAGCATCAAACTGCCTTTGATTTGATTTCCGCATGTAAATCCTAACTCCTCTCCTGTCCAATCCCCCTAATGCTTTCCTCAGCCAATTCTTTACCCTCTCTTGCCTTGGTTACTAGATTAGCCCTTAGAAGATCCATCTACCACCAGTCTCAACAACCACAGAGTGCCTATGTCTACTTTTTTTATCTGAAAAAATTCTACTCAGCCTTCGAGCCCTAACTCAAATGTCCCTCCTCCGTGGAGTCTTGCTCAAAAGCCTCCTCAGCTCACATTCCAACACAGACAGAACTAATCATTCTCATTCCATAATTTCTTCATTTGGTCAAGTTTCTAGTATAGCACTGCTATATTGTAACAGCATTCATTCATTCATTTGCTAAATCTTTAGTAAAATATGGACCCTATACATGGCACTGTTGTAGGCACTGGAGACAAAACAGTAAATGAGACAAACTATGCCCCCATCTCAAGACCCGGTGATTCTACTTTCTTGTCCTTGAAGTTGGAGGTCATGTCTCATTACCTGAATGCCCTTGGCACATGGCCTGTGTTCAAGGGTTATTGAATGTCAGCCACATTGCCATAATTTGATTCAGAGAGAACAGGAGAACAAGGTATTAGCCAAGTCCAGCTCACGGGATTCTATACCAGAGTTAGGCAAATTCCCTACATCACCCAATGTAGGTGAAAGTCCCTCATTCCTTTCTCTACTTCGGGGAGGAAACAATTATACATCCCAAAAGGGTTTTTAGTGTTTGCCCTTTCATCGCACTACTTTTAATTATAGGAGGAGAAAAACATCCAGCTCTCTTCATAGCAAACCAAAATTCTTTTAATTTCTATTTTAAGGAAAATTGGCCTTTTTCTGTCACCGACAAGTATTTTCTTTAAACATTATGCCAAAAAATAATAACTTAGTCATTGAAGTAAAATAATCCCTAAATTTTCCCGTCAGAAAAATTATTATCATCATATCAGATAATAGAAGTATACATATGTGGCAGGCTGAAAGATGGAGCCAAGATCACAAGGCTCTGTAAGATTTAAAATTTTTAATCATATAATGGCTTCTGTATAACCAGCATCCTAGTGAGATACTAAAAAGACTGGGTGCTAGTGAGGGAGGAGCTATATCAGGGAACTTCTTATTAATGAGGTAATTATTATTACTAATAGAAGGTATATTAGTGTTGTCTTAGTGAGTTCAGGCTGCCATAATAGATGACCATAGACTGGGTGGCTTAAACAATAGAAATTTCTTTTTCATGATTCTGAAGGCTAAAATTCCAAGATTAAGACCCTGGCAGACTTGGTGTCTGGTGAGGACCCTCTTCCTGGTTTGCAGACTGTTCTCTTCTCATTTTATCCTCATATGGTGGAGAAAGAGGAAAATCATTTCTCCAGTCTCTTTTCATACGTGTGCTAATACCATTTATGAGGCAAGATATAATTACATCCTAAAGGCTTCACTTTCAAATACCATCACACTGGGATTTTAGGCTTCAACATATGAACTTGGGGGTGGGGGGGAACACAAACATTAAGTCCATACTGAGCATTATTAATAACTTAATTTCTCCATACTAAGAAATTAAAAAGAACCATACAAACTTAGAGAGTCAGCCCTGCAGTTAGTCTATGACAATGGAAGGAAGTATTTACATTGGGGTAAAGATAGTCTATTTAATAAATGGTGCTGGGAAAATTGGACTACACATGCAAAAAATGAAACTGGACCACCTCCTTACGCCATATACAAGAACAAATTCAAAATGGATTAAAGACTTAAATATAAGACCTGAGACCACAAAACTCCTAGAAGAAAATATAGGGTCTAAATTTTCAGACATTAACCTGAGCAATATTTTTACTATTACATCCCTGCGGGCTAGGGAAGTAAAAGAAAAATTGAACATATGGGACTACATTAAACTTAAAAGTTTTTTTCACAACAAAAGAAATCATCAATAAAACAAAAAGGAAGCCTACTGAATGGGAGAAGATATTTGTCAACGAGATATATGATAAGGGGTTAATATCCAAAATATATAAAATGCTCAAGCAACTCAACGCCAAAAAAACAAACAAGCCAATTCAAAAATGGGCAGAAGATATGAAGAGACATTTCTCTAAAGAGGACATACAGATGGCCAACAGGCATATGAAAAATGTTCAACCTCACTAAGCATTAGGGAAATGCAAATAAAAACCACAATGAGATACCACCTTACCCCGGTCAGAATGGTTATCATCAATAAATCAACAAACAACAAATGCTGGCGAGGCTGTGGAAAAGGGAACCCTGGTGCACTGTTGGTGGGACTGCAGATGGTGCAGCCATTATGGAAATCAGTATGAAGGTATCTCAAAAAACTGGAAATGGAACTACCTTATGACCCAGCAATACCACTCTTAGGTATTTATCCAAAAAATCCCAAGACATTAATCCGAAAAAATATACACACCCCTATGTTCATTGCAGCCCTATTCACAATAGCTAAGACTTGGAAACAACCGAAATGTCCATCAGTAGACGACTGGATTAAGAAACTATGGTACATTTACACAATGGAGTATTACTCAGCTATAAAGAAGAAGGAAACTACCATTTGCAACAATATGGATGGAATTAGAGAACATTATGCTAAGAAATAAGTCAGTCAGAGAAAGACAAATACCATATGATCTCACTCATACGTGGATTCTAAAAAACTGCATAAGTGAGAAATGTCAACAGAAATAGTCTCAGAGACACAGAGGAAAAACTGAGGTTGCTAGTTGGGAGGGGGTGGGGATGAGGGAGAAGAAGGGATGAGACAATACAAATTGGTAACTACAATATGGACTCAGGGATAGAAAAGACAGTCTGGGGAATATAATCAATAATGTTGTAAATATTTTTTAGGGGGCCAGATGGCCTCATGTCTTGTTAGGGAGACCACTTCATAGTCAGTGTAGAGACCTGACCACCGCACTGTATTTCTGAAGGTGATGTTGAATAATAGTGTATGTCAACTATAATTATATATACATATAGTCACGGGACGTGGAGTAGAGAGTGGGAATGGAGTCAATGGAATTGTAATAGATAAGCATGATATCGGGGGTGGGAGGGCAGTAGATGGGGGAGGGGGTTTTTTCTGTGTGAAGGGTGAAAAGGATAACTATTGCATTGTTCTGTACACCTGAAACTAACAATAAAAAAAGTCCGCCCTGAACAATTTATAATATTATTTAATATTATTTATTTTAATATTTTAAATTAATATTAATTATTATTAAATATAAATCATTAATACTCTGATAATTTAATATTATTGGAAATAGTAGAATAATAATGTCTTACATTTCAAATATATCATCTTTAGCCACAATGTCAGTTAAGTGAGTACCTGAACTGCTATATGCCTCACCTGAATTGTGTTTTGACATTCTGTGAAGAAATATTGAGAGAACTTACGAGAACTAGGCCTTTGACTCTGGCTCTTCTATTTATTTTAGGACTAACTCATTTGTTCCATGCATTTATTCAACATTGTTGACATTGATTATGTGCCAGATGTTGCATCCAAGGCCCTGGAAATAGAGAATTAAAGTCATCATCCCTCCCTTTAAGGAGCTTATAGTTTGGAGTGAAGACAGATAAACAATTATAACCCAGTGTGACAAATGCGATGCCAGAGGTAAGCCCTGAGGAAACTGGAATCTCTTAAGACAGGTACCAATCCTTGATGAAGGGATCAAGGAAGACTTCCTGGAGGAAAACCAGACAGAAGAAACCAGGAGAGTGAAAGCACAGAACCCTAGGAAAGTATAAAGCAGCCCAGGCAGTGCCAAATCGCTAATATGGGTGTAAATGGGGATGTGAGAGACGGGGAGAGAACCAGTCACGAAATCGCATGGTTCCCTTTTATGAGAATCCTCAGGAATGATTTCAATCTTAATATCGGGCAAAGTTATGCCTCTCCTGAACAATCAGTGGCTGTCCTCTTGGCGACATGACATAGTGTGCGTATTTTCTGTCAGCAGTACAAAACGTTATTGGCACGCTCTGTTCAGTACCTTGCCCAGGGCCGGGCACAAAGCTGGCACTCAACACATTTTAGTTGGATGAAATATTAAGATAAACTTGGGATATTAAGGTTGGTTTCATCTTACCTTCCGACATTATTTTCTTTTCTGATGTTTGTAGTCTTATCTCTATAAATCTTTGAAAGGGGATGGGTTATAAATAAGATAGATAAACACATTTTAAAAATGCATCTTGAATATAATCAGTAATGTTGTAAA